TTTTAAACGACTTATTTTATACTTGATAATTTACAAAATGACTAGATCGATCTTCAGTTATTACTAAAAGACTTAGTTTATACTTAAAAGTTTCCAAAACGGCTTAATGGATCTTCAACTATTATTAAATGACTAAGTTTATATTTAATAATTCACAAAATGACTAGGTCAATCTTCAGTTATTATTAAACGACTTAGTTTATACTTAAAAGTTACTAAACGACTAAATGGATCTTCAACTATTATTAAACGATTAAGTTTATACTTAATAATTCCCAAAATGACGAGTTCGATCTTCAGTTATTATTGAACGACTTAGTTTATACTTAAAAGTTTACACAACGACTAAATGGATCTTCAACGTATTATTAAACGACTAAGTTTATACTTAATAATTCACAAAATGACTAGTTCGATCTTCAGTTATTATTGAACGACTTAGTTTATACTTAAAAGTTTACTAAACGACTAAATGGATCTTCAACTATTATTAAACGACTAAGTTTATACTTAATAATTCCCAAAATGACTAGTTCGATCTTCAGTTATTATTAAACGACTTAGTTTATACTTAAAAGTTTACAAAATCACTAAATGGATCTTCAACTATTATTAAACGACTTAGTTTATACTTCATAATTCACAAAATGACTAGATTGATCTTTAGTTACTATTAAACGATTTAGTTTATACTTAAAAGTTTATGAAACGACTAAATGGATCTTCAATTATTAATAAACGACTTAGTTTATACTTAATAATTCACAAAATGACTAGATCAATCTTCAGTTAGTATTAAACGGCTTAGTTTATACTTGAAAGTTTACAAAACGACTAAATGGATCTTCAACTATTATTAAACGACTTAGTTTATACTTAATAATTTACAAAATGACTAAATCGATCTTCGGTTATTATTAAACAACTTAATTTATACTTAATAATTCACAAAATGTCTAGATCGATCTTTAATTATTATTAAACGACTTAGTTTATACTTAATAATTTACAAAATGGCTAGATTGATCATCAATTATTATTAAATGACGTAGTTTATACTTAATAATTTACAAAATTACTAGATCGATCTTCAATTATTAATAAGACAACTATGCAAATTGTTAGACAACTCTCCAATATCGTTGTACAACTCTTCAATATCGTTGGACAACTAATGCAGTTGTTTGAAGGACTTGATCCTTCAACTGTTACAGTTATCCAACAACATTAAAAGTTGTTGATATAAAAATTAGAAGCTTTTGATAGAAAAATTAGAAATTGTTGAGATACAACTATATAAGTTGTTTGAACTAATAATTGTACCATTAAGTACATGTTATAAATACGACAAAAAGTCATGAAACTACACCATTACATGTTTATGCAACTCCATTTGATCTGGTAGGACATGTGGTTTTTTTGTGGCCAAATCCTTTACATAAAGAACATTTGTTTTTTCTTCTTTGAAACAACTTTTCCTATAGTAGGTTCCCGTTTCATCCTCTTTCTTCCCGGTTTAGTTTTCTTTTCAGGTGGAGGTATTACTCTCCCTAAAATTTCTGGAGAAAGATTCCAAAATACTTCAGCTAGCACCGGATAAATTGAATCTGCATATGCAAGTATATACGACTCTACCTTACAATATGAAGACGAAAACTTGTAAATCATTTTGTCATATTCATCTCCAAACTTATGCCTGAGTGCTTCCATAGCATGTTGACAAGGTATTTTGTCCAAATCAAACTCTCGACACGAACACATTTTGCTTCAAAGATGGACCCGTTGCATTTCCATTGTCCGCAGTGACGCTGAGGTATCTTCATCAATTTGATGAACCAATAACTTATTTTCCAGATTCTTGTTAGCCATTATTTTTATTTCAGCTGAAGGGACAAAAGTGGTTTTTAACTTGGCATACGCCATTCGTCTCTCATAAAAAATTTCGGACAATCTTTTTCTTATATCATTAAACAGGGCAGTAATGGGAAATTCTCTTGCTTCATTGAATATTGCATTAACAGAATCCGCAATATTTGAAGTCAATACATCATACCTGAAATATAAAAATTAAAAAATATCAAGAAACTAAAATACAAAGTATTGTTGATTTTAAATAACGATTGTGAATTTAGCTAACAAGAACTACTGCAGTTGCTGAAAGAACTACTACAGTTGCTGAAACAACTGTGAAATTTATTTCAACAACTATAAAATTATCTCAACAACTATAATAATTGTTTCAATAACTATAATAATTGTTTCAATAACTATAATAATTGTTTCAATAACTATAATAATTGTTTCAATAACTATAATAATTGTTTCAATAACTATAATAATTGTTTCAATAACTATAATAATTGTTTCAATAACTATAATAATTGTTTCAATAACTATAATAATTGTTTCAATAACTATAATAATTGTTTCAATAACTATAATAATTGTTTCAATAACTATAATAATTGTTTCAATAACTATAATAATTGTTTCAATAACTATAATAATTGTTTCAATAACTATAATAATTGTTTCAACACCTATATGTTTGAACTAGTAAGAAAATTTACATGTTTCCTTGAAAATATGCTCTACTCCATTTGTGAAATCCAACATTTTCAAGATAATTCGTGACTTCCGCATTGATAATTATGATGTGTTCAAAATGATCATGGAACACATCTCTCCAATATGATTTTGTTGCATGATCATAATGTCCAAGAAAATCTCCACAATGAAAATGTTTACGAGTATTCTCACCAAGATGCCTCGTGCAACATCTATGGTGCGCTTCAGAGTAAAACTTTGATAACGCCTTTCCTATGCTTGGATGTCTATCGGAAATTATGATCAACTCTGAAGTATCAGGGACTATGTCTAACAGTTTCTCAAAAAAATACTCATATGCAGCATCACACTCCTTATCTACTACACAAAATGCAACATGAAAGATATGATTTTCTGTATCGTGTGCGATAGCAGACAACAAAACTTCATCGTAACGACCTCTTAAAAATGTACCATCAACAGCTAAGACTTTTCTCATATGCACAAACCTTCTAATCCAAGCTCCATACAATACAAAAAAATATTTGAACCTTCCCTTGTCATCAAGTTGAGCGATGTATTGCTTCCTTCATTTATAGTCATAAGCATATGACGATAACCTTCTAAAATTGCATATCCATGCTCCGGTGTCCCTCTTATCATAGCTTTTGCAATTTCACTGCCTTTTAAACACTTCTAGTAGCTAATCTTGCAGCCCAAATCTACTTGAACAATAATTTGTATATTTTTTGTGGAGGGACCTTTTCCATTCAAGAAACTAGGTAGCATGTATTCTGCGACGACCTCTGTTGAAGCATGTGGATGATGACTTGTAACATGTTGTGCTCCACATGAGTGAATGTTGCGGTTCAAATCTGTTACAACTTTGAAGTTTTGTTGCTCGCAATCACCAATCACATTTTTTATCTACACATCTAGCACAATACACATCTTTAGAACTCTTCACTGATTTTAGTCTTTGATCTTTCTTCACAAAAGCAAGCTTCAACAATTTAGTTAATTCTCGCTTGTTCTTGAAAATTTTACCTTTATAAAAACCTTTGCCGTCATCATCCATGTGGCTGCCTTGTGTTGGTATAAAATGTTGAGAAGCCACTACAAAAAAATATGTGTTTACCAATGGGCAAAATCTCTCGCTAATCTATGATATTTCGTCACTAAACATGATTAGCGACAAATTAGTGATGGATTGTTGATTGTTGCTATTACGCTCGTTAATAATCACTTAGTGACGAAAAAATGAGTTTCGTTGCAAGTTTAACAACGTCTTAGTGACGAAAGATTTTCGTCGCCACTTGTTAGCGACGGAGTGATTCGTCATTATATTTGTATAGTTTCGTTGTTAATTTCATAATTCATTTGGTCATCCTGGATAAATTTGCGACGAAATATTGGTCACTAGTCCGTCATAACATAGTCTATCGCTAGTCCGTCGCCAACATTCTTTTCATAGCAACAATCAAATAGTCGCTAAATTTGTTGCTAACAAATTTTCTTCTAAAACTATTTGATTTATTTATTTTAAATATATACTGCAGACATGAATTCAATATAAATTACTAAATACTCCATACAAATCAACATTAATATAAAATAATACTCATAGACATTTCAAAATATATGAAAAGCGAAATTCAAACCCCAAATTTTTGGTTCAAAGTATCCAAAGCAATCTATAAACTGTTCTTAAATGAACCTTTAGGTTCATCAAAAATTGTTACTACAGAATTTGTAGTTTTCAAAAATACATGACAATATCAAAAATTAAAGTTGAGGGAGACTAAGAGCCTGTTTGGATGGGCTTTTAAGCTGATCAAACTGACTTAAAAATCATTTTTGACTTATTAGAGTGTTTGGAAATTATCAAAGTGACTTATTTTATGTCAGAAATGACTTATTTTAAGCCAAAAGCTAAAAGCTAGGTGAGGGGAGCTTCTTTTTTTTTTAACTTAAAAGCCCTTTTATGTTGACCAAGTATATTACCTTTTTTCCATTAATTCTTTTATACAATTCCCAAATTGCCCATATTGAATTAACCCTAACATCTATTATTATTATTATTGTTGTTGTTGTTGTTGTGGTGGTGGTGGTGGTGGTTGTTGAATTAACCCTAACATCTATTATTATTATTATTGTTGTTGTTGTTGTTGTTGTTGTGGTGGTGGTGGTGGTGGTGGTGGTGCCTTTTGTAGGTCACTCAAATATTAGACAACTACATCTACTTATTTCCACAATCATGTTTGTATTTGGAAGTACAACAAACATAAATCTGTGCCAAATGAAAACAAACAAGTGGGACTATCTACATGCCATTGTACAACAATCACGGATGAGTGAAAGGACTCTAAAATATATTTTCTAAACTAAAAGTGACTTTAACAAGATAGGTATGGTATAGAGAGACCTAATATATGTCCCAGAAAAGTGCCTTTTCAGACTGATATAGTACAGCCTAATTCCCTAGTAGCAGTATCAAGAAATTGAGCAGACATTCCATTTTCAAGCCGGTTATTAGCTTCACACATCAAACACTTCCCAATATCCGCTTTCCAGTCAATGATGCTTATGCTAAGGTACTGATAAGCAAGATTGTGGATGCCATTTACATCTTCTACTTCTTTCACACTTGGTTTTAATGAACCAGCATACATAATGTCACAAAGAACCGATGTACTGAGAGCACAGACATGTGCACTTGGATGAGAAACACAACGAACTATGGCAAGCATGCAAAAAAACTCATATTTTCAGTAAATCAGCAATATGCATCCAAATCAGAACCCTAACCCCCTTTTTCCTAAATATCTAAGATCTAAAAACTCCTATTTTCAGTAAATCAGCAATATGCATTCAAATTAGAACCCTAACCCCTTTTTTCCTGAAAACCTAAGTTTTAAAAACCCCTATTTTCAGTGCATCCAATCATTTGAAACTCCTATTTTAAGAAAACCCCAACCCCTAATTTCAGTACACCCAAACTTCTAAAACCCTAATTTCAAAAAACCCCAACCTCACTTCGAGCTTAATGAAGTGAAAGAGTTGAGAGTTAAAAACTCACAAACCATTTCAAATACTACGCAAAAATCGTTGAATAGTTGATTGTGTTCTTGTCCTATGCAATAAAATAACGTTCCTCAAAGAAAAATAGAATACCAAACAAAAAAAAATTGATTTCGTAACTAATTCATCAAACTAAGAGTACTTACTTCTTAGAAAATATTGACGATTTCTCCAAAAATTTGAAGGTTGAGCTGCTGAAGATAAAGAGAAAAAATGAGTTCAATATAAATCCGAATCTATAGATAGAAAGAGGTGAATATGAATGAGCATGGAAGAAGAAGAAGAAGAAGAGGGCTTACTTGATCCTTTATCGCAGATGCAAGAAGAAAAAGAGAACTCAGTTCTCATATGAGAGATCTATTGAAGAAGAAGAGAGCTTAGTTCTAGAGACCAAAAACGATACAAATGAATTTAAGCCCTAGAATAAATGGCACATAAAAATACATTAGCAACGGATTTAGCAATGGATTATAATACGAGAGGGAGTTGCTCGGATAGTAAGCACCCCTCACTTCCAATCTGAAGGTTGCGAGTTCGAGTCACCAAGGGAGTAAAAGGGATGGGGAGCTCCTAGGGAGGGTAAAAAAAAAGAAAAAGAGCAACGGATTATAAAATTCGTCGTTACCAAATAAATATATTTATCCAGAATAAAATTTTAATGATGGATTATTCTATCATTATATAGTATAAAATTTATAAAAAAATATTTAAAAGTTTAGCGACATCATTTTCGTCACTAATTATGTTGTGAAATATTAATTGAATTTGTGACACCTATTTTGTTGCTAAATTCGTAGGAAAATTAGAGCGCCAAAATTTCGCGTTAATATTTAGCGACGTAATAAATATTCCGTCACCAATACGTTGCTATGTCATAACTCAAAAAATTATTTGTTATTCTTGCAACGAAACTACTATTCCGTTTCAAATATGTCGCTATATAGTGACTAAATTTGATTTGTCGCTAAAATCCGTCGCTAAACGCTGTTTGTTTAGTAGTGAGCATCCTCGTTTATAGGAATATCAATAGTAACATGATGTTCTTCATCATTTGCAACTGAATTTATTGTCTCTGCCATCTTTTCAACCACTGATATTCTTAAAATGGGCCTACTTCGATCATCCAAAAAGAAATCGTAAATCACGATCATTCCTTATCCTAGAAGAAGCTCCTTTTTGCTTTTCAATGAAGCCAAGCATGTAAGTAATAGATAGATCATCTTTACCACAATTTAAGTCAAACCTAGAAATAATGATCTCAACCAACTAATTATACATAACATTCTCACTTATCTTTATTGGTACTGTTTCTTGATCCTTTGATCGCCAAGTATAACGAGTAGGATTCTCTACCCATTCACCATGTAAATCCACTGCTATTATTATTTGATCTTCCATAGATGGACACAATACCCGAAGACATCACAAAATATTTCAATTAGTGAGACATTTATCAAACAACTTTGAAATCACTAAAGAATATGTACTACTTGTTTTTACACCTATTTCGTTGTTTCACAACTATCAATAATAGTAAGAAAATTTTAGTAACTTAAGAATTTTTTATAATTCTTCGATTGACCAACAACAAAACACAGTTGTCGAACAACTGCACTAGTTGTTGGGACAACTTTTACTATCGCCGAACAACTAAAGACAGTTGTTGGACATCAACAAAGACATATTTAACTATTTCAATAAACAACTTCGATAGCCGCCCGGACAACTACGAAAGTTGTTGACTGAAACAATCACTTTGGATTCATTAAACATAGCTTAAGAATAGACACAAAGTGATTTTCATACTATTAATAATGTTCTTCTTAGTTTATTCAAAGCTCAAACAAAACAAATGCAATACAAAAGAACTCGGGGCTCAAAAAACTCAAACATATATATATATAAATATATATATATATATTTTGACATTCTTTTTTCATAAATTTTTCTTGATAGATCTTCTCAATAAAAGCATATATTTTTGCAGATAAAGGAAGAAGAAGAAGAAAGGATTGAAAAATGTAGCTGTCGTTGAAGAGGATAGTTGGGAAGACGATGGGGCTATTGAAAAAACATCTTTTTAACCTAATTAATATTATTTATTCATTTGTCACTTTTACCCAATATTTAAGACTTGAAGGACTCCAACCTAATTGAGTAACTTATTTGTCCTTTTTAATAGACCTTCCCGATCGATCACGTATGTATTGCGTTGCTGGACTGGGTATTTTGGTGAAGAGAATTGGTGGGCTGAGTTGTGTTTAAGGGAATTTTGGCTCAAAGTTGGGCTGCTGATGGAGTTTTGTTGAATTTGGGTATTGTTGTTGAAATCGGGCTGAAAATTAAGGGAATGAGTCTGCGTATAAGAATTGGGCTCAACATTGGAAGCAACAATATGGCTTGGATTGCAATTGAAGAGTTGGCCCAATTATAACCAATTGTAGTTTTTTTAATTAATTCAAATTTTCGTCATTAAATTTCATTTTAGAGAGTAAAGCATTTTTATTGGGGAAAAAATTGCACCCACGATGCATATGCGCGTGGATAATTGAGGACAAGAATGTAAGCCAGAAAATTAATGTTTTCTTCACTATACCACTGTTACTTTGACTGGCAGGGGTAACGGATGCCATACCCATATTTTCGCCCATTTCTTTTAGGAAAATTACCGAAATTTCACCTTTTAGTTTACTTATTACCATTATCCCCTATAAGTTTTACAAATCTCCAAAATCCCTCATTTTGCGTATCAGATTAGTGTATCTCGTGCATTAGATTAATGTATCTAGCGCATCAGATTAGTGTATCATGTATAAAATGTAATGTATCTTACTTAATGATTAATGTATCTCACACATCAGATTAATGTATCAGCGCTTATATTATTGTATCCGTTTGAGGGATTTCTGTAATTATAAACTTTTAAGGGATAGATTGTAATTTTGCCTTAAAAGTATGTGATTTCTGTAATTTGCCCTTACTTTAATCTGGCTAAATATTGAATGAGACGAATTAATATTAATTAATTAACGAACTTATTAATCTTAATGAAATAAAATAATTAGCTTAATTATAAACTAATAACTCAAAAATATAAGCCAACTTAATTACACTAGTTTAATAAAATAGTTAACCAAAAAAATAAAATCATTTTTGGGATGATTTTCGAATATTTATAAAATATACTAATTATATATAAAATTATGTAAAACATATATATTATTTAAAAAATTATTAAAAGGGAAAAACTATTTAAAATAACCTGCAAACTATTATTTTATTTTATTTTGAAATTTTCTAAAACTAATTATTTTAAATCGCTTGAAATTGAAGAAGCTCGATGATTAATTTATATTGTGGAGGGTCAAAAATTGGGTGTCTAATACTTGCATTGTTGCAATATTCAACTAAGGGGTTGTTTCGTAGAGTGTATTGGAGAAAACAATGCTTGCATTTGCGTATCAGATTAGTGTATCTCGTGCATTAGATTAATGTATCTAGCGCATCAGATTAGTGTATCATGTATAAAATGTAATGTATCTTACTTAATGATTAATGTATCTCACACATCAGATTAATGTATCAGCGCTTATATTATTGTATCCGTTTGAGGGATTTCTGTAATTATAAACTTTTAAGGGATAGATTGTAATTTTGCCTTAAAAGTATGTGATTTCTGTAATTTGCCCTTACTTTAATCTGGCTAAATATTGAATGAGACGAATTAATATTAATTAATTAACGAACTTATTAATCTTAATGAAATAAAATAATTAGCTTAATTATAAACTAATAACTCAAAAATATAAGCCAACTTAATTACACTAGTTTAATAAAATAGTTAACCAAAAAAATAAAATCATTTTTGGGATGATTTTCGAATATTTATAAAATATACTAATTATATATAAAATTATGTAAAACATATATATTATTTAAAAAATTATTAAAAGGGAAAAACTATTTAAAATAACCTGCAAACTATTATTTTATTTTATTTTGAAATTTTCTAAAACTAATTATTTTAAATCGCTTGAAATTGAAGAAGCTCGATGATTAATTTATATTGTGGAGGGTCAAAAATTGGGTGTCTAATACTTGCATTGTTGCAATATTCAACTAAGGGGTTGTTTCGTAGAGTGTATTGGAGAAAACAATGCTTGCAATTAACTTGATGTATTATTAGTACCTTGTTTGGTACACTTTTCTAACCTATACATAACTAATGCTTGTATTAGTAATACACTCTATTGTGTATTGAAGAGTGTATTACTAATACCATTTATTTCTATGCATTAGTAATGCAATGGGTTCTAATGCATGCATTAACATTATTAAAGGCACAATTGCCCTCAAAAACTTTTTTTACATCCTTTCCATTATATTTGTTGAGGGTATTTTTGTAAACAAATATTTTTTCTAAAAAAACTATGTAATGCATAATATTTTTAGTACACCAAACCAAACATTGCATAAAAAATATCTTATCATAACTAATGCAAGCATAACTAATACAAGCGTTACTAATGCAAGCATTACTAATACACTATATTTTGCATTATTCTTATACACTCTACCAAACAACCCCTAAGTGTCTCATTAGCTCTAATACTATTTATACATGATTTTACAAGGTCTTTGCTTCATCTCAAAGATTCTTGAATTCCTCCCAAGCCACATTGCATGAATGCATTTTGCATATGCCATTTTGAGTATTTAAGAAGTTCTTGACTTCCTTTTTGTAATGTGAACTATCCAGTATTGTATTTGCTCTCAGGTGACTAGAGTGGGAGGAGTAATCAGTAAGCAACTTATCACCTACTTACACAACTTGAGCCCTTGTTGATTGCATTTATCACCTAAAAGTCTAAGCAGAAATAAATAACACAGGTACTAATTAAATCGGTAAGCAATACCAAACCCAAAAATGAAATAGGAAAATAACCAGAATGTATTTGAGGAATAGTTGGCGTGGCGTGGTAGTACTAGATTAAAAGATTTAGAGAATATTTGATCTTGCTTACCTTAGGTTATATGATTCTGCTTATTTTAATAATTTTATCTTGATTTGCTTGTAATATTCTTGGACTAACAATTCAGGTTAACATTTAAGTATACTTTTATTGCTCATTTCATAGGTATTTTTTATGGCTGGTAATAATGCATATCAATTGGATCTCAGTACACCTGAACCATCTGTATTAACTAACAACTCACCCATAGGTAACGAGATATATGTATAGAAGTGTTAATATGATTTTAAACATGAGGAGAGGTGATGAAAAGTTTTGGGACCTCGTAAAGAAACATCCCATTACTCATCTTGTTATTAGTAATCCTACTCCATGTCCTCAGTGATAGCAAAATTCAACGGCCTATGAAATAATGGTAAGTGATTCATATTTCTTTTGGTTCAATTAAATAGTAGTAGCCACATCTTTCTAATGCGCCCACTGCATCTAAGATATGGATACTTTCTGAGGTTCATTTTTGGTACCTATTGTACAGTGAAGAAAACAAATTGAATATCTTATCATCGGTACAATGAAAAATCGGTACACTAAAAAAGCAATTTGAATACTTTAGCTTATGCTTTCTATATATAAAACAAGAGAATCTTCACTTGGAAATTGACAGTTGGAGCTTCTGCTTTACTGGTAATGGTCGTCTATCATGCATCAGCTAGTTCTCTAATACAAGTTCAGTTGGCATGTGCTTGTTAATTAATCATATTTAACTCATGGTTATAGTAATACTATTGGTATTTTAACATCTTTACATTATTTTTTAACATAATTGCTCATTTTTTAGTTGAATAATTGGAAATTTATCCTTATTTGCCAGGAAGTATATATGCTCGACAAAAATAAAAGAGTAATTGATAAATTATGAGGCGAAGGTTATTTAGAACTTGACAATGACATGAAGCTATATTCTGGAATTTGGAAGAAGAAAAAACTTCTATATATTGAGTATATGTATTCAATTGGTTATTGAATAGATCATAGAGTGTGGAAATTAAATATTATGTTTTAAGCTATGAAAACTGATCCAAATTTCTCTAATGAGAATGTTGCTTACTGTTCTTAGTCTTGCAACTATCAGAAATTGTAAATGTTTTAAGGTATGAAGGCTGGCCTTTTCTTGCGTTTCTGGATGAAGTACTAAGAGAAAAACAGACCAGCCAATAAAATTTATCGTTGTAAGAAAATTTCCCAATCATACACAGCAATTCTTGCTTTCTCTCTCTCTCTCTATATATATATATGTCAGCCTCACCTTGAAGTTCTGACACTTGGATAAACTGACATAAAAGGAGTTCGATTCTATAGCAGAAAAGATTAAAATAACAGAGGTTGACATTTGGGGTTACTTAAGCTTAAAATGTCATTGAAATTAAAAACGTTACTCACAATTACATTTTAATTTGTTAACTCCGTTAGTCATTTGTTTTTTTGTCATTGATTTTTTTTGAATAAAATAATACCTAATACGTTACTATCAAATACGTTAATACTAGTTTTGTAAAAAAATAAATATTAAAAAACATATTATTTTGATGAATTAAATTAAATTATGGCTTATTTCAGTTAAAATTTTGAATGGTGAATTATAAACTCAACGTTCAACATTTATACAAATTGATGTCTTTTTTTAATTTATAATTGGTATACAAGACGCACCTGTTAAACACAAAAAAAGAAAGAGTTACATTAACATGCCATTTGTACAGTAACATTCACCTTCAAATTCGAAACATAAATTGCAATTCATAAACTAATTGAAGATGCATGTGATATATGAAGATGTTTCAAAAAAATGTTTCTTCTGTACGTCTGGTGTCCCATAATTGAATAGATTTGGTAGAAAAATCCCCCAGCCACATAAACAAGACAAGAAGAAACAATACATACATACATACATACAAATGTTAGATGAGTTGCCAACTTTTCAGTTACAAACTAATGGACATCATAAATCCATATCCTTAAACATGGATAAACTAACCAAAAACCAACAATAACAACAACAAAAAAAGACTTATTAATTGGATCATCATCGTAAACGAAAAAGGAAAAAAAAGCAATATAATGGTACTCGAAAAAAGTCTACCAATGACTGCAGGAGATTCAGAATGCAGTTATGCCAATAATTCAATCCTTCAGGTTCAACTTCTTCATGCAAAGCCAAAAAAGTGTATTCATTCAATATTATACAATTATACAATAGAGATCCATCAATCCTTTAATATGTACAAATCTCTATACTTCCTCTGTTATCTACAATTAGCTTTTTAGTGTTTCTTTTCCCTTTAGGTAACTTTTTAATTTCAATTTTCCACATGATAATTTTAAGATCACAACATTAAAAGACATTTTGATATATACAATTCAAAACAACAAGATTTAAAATTTCAATCACTTTCTTAGAGTCGTGCAATAAAAAATTATGTTAATGTTGATCAGGTCGAACTCAATATATATATATTTTTTTAAATAGTTATTTAATATGTCTGAATAATATAATGTACAAATATTAGATTTAGAATGTAGTTAGTGTTATTTAAAGTCGTCCCATAAACTAATAGAAGTAGAGTATAAGCATTTGTATTAGTGAGTGATTTGTATTGTTTGAATTTTCAGAGAAGGGTTATAGTAAAGTCAAAACTTTTATTAGAAGAAAGTGTAAAAAATATGTTGAAGAATGGTATTTTTCCAAAGTGTTTGAGAGTAGCAGATCTGGGTTGTTCTTCAGGAGGAAATACACTTTTATGTATGAGCAATGTGATTGATACAGTTCATAATATGTGCAAAGAGAACAAGTATGAATCACCAGAATTTCAAGTGTATTTGAATGGTCTGCCAGATAATGATTTCAATACTGTCTTCAAATCAATTCCATCATTTCTTGAAAAATATGGGAATTGTTACATAGCAGGAGTTGCTGGTTCTTTTTATCAAAGGCTTTTTCCTACAAACACCTTGAACTTTGTTCATTCTTCTTATAGTCTCCATTGGCTCTCTCAGGTATATATAATCTTTAACGACTATATATATTGTATTTTGTTTCATAATGGTATTACTTACTACTCCATTAATAGGTTCCAAAAGGGTTGGAGTGTAACAAAAAAAGTATACTCATATCAGAATCAAGTCCTCCACTAGTAGTGCAAGCATATTCCAATCAATTCAACAGGGATTTTTCAAGCTTTCTACGCTTTCGTTCTCAAGAAGTAATGAGTGGAGGGCATATGGTCCTTGTGTATGTTGGCAGGAGCAATCCAGATCCAAGAAGCTATGATTCTTGCTGTTTGATGGATTTACTAGCAAACTCACTTCTTCATTTAGCAGCCCAGGTTGTTTATTTATAGGGAGAAGGCACAAGTACCCCTAGACTATGATCGAAATCTCAGAGACACACTTTAACTAAACTAATGTCCTATTACCCCTGAACTCATTGTATATATAATGTTGTACACCTTTTGGCTTATGTGGCACATCCCGTTACTCCACACAGTTGAGGCTTGTGGGATACATTTGAATGCCACGTAAGCTAAAAAGGTGTACAAAATTACAAAAAAAATGAGTTCATGTGGGTAATAAGACCTTAGTTTAGTTAAGGTGTCTCTTTGGAATTTGGGTCATAGTCTAGGAAAATACTTCTACCTTTGCCCTTTATATATATATATATATATTTCTCACCCTAGCTCCTCACTCAACTAACAAATTTTTTTTTGTTTAAATGGAAGCAGGGCAAGATCAAAGAGGATAAAATTGATTCATTTAACATTCCTTCTTATGCACCATATCAAGAAGAGATAAAGAAGATCGTACAAATGGAAGGATCATTTAGTCTTGAAAAACTTGAAACATTTGAGACTGATATGACTGCCATTGACAAACCTTTTGAGGATATTGCCAACTTAGTAGTTAAGACTATAAGAGCTGTTACTGAGGTTTTGTTGGCTTCTCATTTTGGAAACTCCATAATTCATCATTTATTCGACATATATATAAACGATGTCACACAATATCTATCCATGGGCAATACCATCAAGTTCTTCAATATTTGTTTATGTTTAAGGAAAAAATAAATGATAGGCAAGTTGCTAGCATGTACTCAATGAAATAGTTAAAAATAGTGCACGCCCCAACACCATAATAATTAACATGAATGTGTATGTATGAGATGTTGTTTAATTACATGTAACATTAATCCTATAAATATTAAATATTACTTTTTCTATTTTAATTTGTTTATCTTATAACTTATTTGACCAAATTTTTAAAAATAAACTTGTTTTGAAAAGTATCTTTTGTATTTTACAAGTAAAATTATTTTATCTAGCATCAGGAATTTCAGGGGTAGAAAATCATACTTATACTTGCTAGTCCCCTACTTTGGTAGACCCTCTAAACACAACCTCTTGGACTATCATCTTAACCACCTTACGGGGCATTTATTTTATTTTTTTTGGTTTTACACACAACTTTCCCTCTCAATCTAATATAGTACACACATGCAGCATGTTGGTAATTTTAAGAATAAAACTATATCTGAAAACAGAGAAATAGTATAGCAATAGAAGAACATTTTCATTGATGTCTACCAATGATATTTTTAAAAGTCGGAATAAAACAAAAATAGTTGAATATACGATACTACCAAATTTACTAAATTAACTCTTAAAAGTAGGAATAAATGGCTAACAACAAATTGATTAAGTTTTATTCAAAACTAAAATAGTAAAATAATATTACTATAGTTCTAAAGCAAATTTCTAAACTCTTTGTGTTTTGAAAACTATAAACTCCAATTTTTGTATGAGAAGCTCAAACTTGCTGACCGGTAAAGTCTTAGTGAATATATTAGCCAATTGTTCTTCCATCTTGTGGTATTAAAGAGTTATAGTTTCATCCTTTTGCATTTCTCTTAAGAAGAAAAACTTGATGTTAAAGTGCTTAGTTTCTTCATGAAACACAACATTGTGAGAAATAGCTTTTATTGTTTGGTTGTCTGCGAACACTTCAATGCTTCCTGTCAGTTCCATATGCAAATCAATCAATTTTTCGTTCAGTCACAAAGCTATTTATTGTTGTTGTAGCTGCCACTTACTCAACTTCGACTGTAGATTAAGCCACAATATATATATTGTTTCTTATAATTTCATGTGAAAATTCTAGAACGAAGACTAAAATAGTACCCTGGAGTATTCTACGAATCATCCATGAAATCTCTTCAATTATTATTACCATACCCAAAAAGCATCACATGTTAATTTTTCTGAAACTTGACTTCATAAGTGATGGTTCCTTTGATGTATCGATCGATTCTTTTATTTATTTGTAAATGTATTGACTCGGATAATGCATAAATCTTGATAGAACGCTTACAACATACAAGTGTTTGTTACGATACATCAAACATCCAATGAAACTTAAGAAATATGTGTCCTCCACTTTTTTGGCTCCATCATCTTTGCTTAATTTCTCTTTTTGATTCACGGGATTATTCATTTATTTGCAAGTTTACATTTTGATTTTTTTCGAGAATTTATTTGCCTACTTTTCTGGCAAATGAAATACTCATCTTTTTCTTGTATGATCTCCATTCCAAGGAAATAAGTCATCATATCAAGATCAGACATTTCAAAGCTTGCACCATATTTTTCTTGAACTCATCAACAAGCTTTGCACTGCTCTTTGTTATAAAAAGGTCATCCATATAAAGAGAAATAATAAGAACCTCATTGCTATTGTATTTAACATACAATGTGAATTCTAGAAGACTTTTTTTTTAAAAAATCGAGGCCAAACTGTCACGACCCAAAAATGGACGTGATGACAATTGTCTATTCCCACCAAGACAAGTCAACCTCAACCTAAACTAAAAGAAAGAAATGCGGAAAACAGTAAAAACAAGAACAAGATAAAGTGGAAAACTTATTCTTCTATGAAAACCCCTAAAATTTGGTTGTCATCTGTACAAGCCACTATATACATAAGTGCGGAATTAAGAAATAAATACAAGTCTCAATCTTTGTTTCTCAAATAGAACAAAGTGTAAGAAAAGGAAAAAGAGGGTCCACCAAATGCAAACAACTACCTCTTCAAGTCCTTGACAAGCCTCAAGATCAAGAGAAGAAGAAAGAGATCAAACAGGTCTGGGCTCGGAACATACACAGGTGTAGAACCAAGGGGTGGGTACCAACAACAAGGTACCAGTAAGCAACCTACTAAATAAAGCAACTAGCTAAAATATGAATATCCTTGACTCTCCAACCGAACCTCCTCAAATTACAACCTGCACAAAAATAAGCTCAACCTACCAATTCTACAATATACGACTCACAAGACCCAATATTCACAATCTAATAGCCACAATTCAACAATCAAATAAATCAATCTCAAAGTCAAGTAGTTCAATCACACACAACAAGTATGTCAATTACAATTAACAACCAAGTCATGCATAAACATCATATACATCAAGTCACAATAGTCAACCTCTCACCGGAACGATTTCCCATTGGCTTGATAACCCTTTACGAAAATGACCTAGGCATAATAACACTTGCCGGAAAAGACCTCGACCTCATAGACACTCGCCGAAATGGCTCTGGCCTAATAACGAACTCAGCATAATAGTACTTGCCAGTAAGGACCTCGCCATCATAATCATCACATGCCTCATCACGGTGTTCAATGATCAATGCACACAATTAAGCAATATTACACTATATAGAAGAGACAATAAATTACACAATTCAAGTCCACATTCATGGTTTCAAGCATTTCATCAATCAATTAATAAGGGCACACTAAGGCAATTTACATCATCATGTTCATCACATAGCCTTTTTTCATTTCAACCCCTTTTATTCATTTAGATGTATCAAGTGTACAATTAAACCCTTCATCTCATCCCTATTACTCTTAATACACAAGCAACAAAGAAGCATACGAATTCAACTAGAATACAAGATTTAGGAAGCCACTTGCCATAAATCAGTCAACAATCACTCCAAGAGTTGAGCCTTCCCCTTCCAAATCACTTCCAAAGCCAAACAATCTAAAATAATCAAGTGTTCACAATCAGCCATCGGAAAAAACACTTCCCACATCAATTATGTAAAGAAATGAGTCAATCAACTCAAAAACTCACTATCAAAATGGAGATTTGAATCCGGAAAATAATACTTGAAAATGATGTTTAAGGCTTTAGGAAATAATTAGAGAAAATCATTTCCAAAAAAGGATCAAAACCACTTCAAAATCATCATTTTACTAAATTCTTGGGTTCTTGAAAAACCTTACCATTAACTCACAAAAATCCCACAATTTAATGTTAAAACTCATAATTAATCAATGAAAAATGAAGATTTAGGGTAAAAAAATTTACCCAACTGATCTAGCACATATCCTTTCAAAATTCGCCACCAAGGGTTCCCAAGTTCAAAAATAGTGAAATGAGACTTAAACCCTAGAATTTTCAGACCAAAACCCTCTTAGGTATCACACAAGCGACCAGGGGTTCGCTTAAGAGAACCATGCTAAAAACTCGGGTGTCTCTTAAGCGAAGGTCGCTTATGCAACAGGCTCATTGCTTTAAGCGAAGGTCAGTTAAAAAGCTAGCCTTTGCAAAAGTGAAACCTGCAAACACCAACAACTTCAACCAATTTCTAAAACATCGAAAGGACCTAGGACACTCGAGATTCGTTTGAAACCACATACACACAAATCACATATGCAAATCGATTATACTCGATGCTACAGACTCGATGGAACAGTCAAAATATGAATATGAGGTCACCTAGACCCGACATTTGTGAATATTACAAGAAACTAACTCAACACCTAAAAAGGTTAAAATAAGCTCGGGACCTCTCAAAAATCAACCAAGACCTTACCTAGTTGTAAAATCATTTCCCAAATCAAAAGGAACTCTTGGAATTCCAATTCGAGCATTCGAACCCCGAATATTGACCAAAGTCAACCCAAAAATTAAATTTCCACAGATTTACAACTCAGGACCTCAAATCCTCAAAAAGACTCAAAATATCATACCAACAACTCTCACTACTCAGATTCCACATTCCGGGACTAATGAAATCGATGGAATTTCATTCTGACACTCAACTCCAAAAGACCCCAAAAACCACTTCGTTAACAACTTGGCCTTTAAACTCAGTAACTTACTAATTTTTCAAATTTTAACTCAAAGTTCAAAGACACCTTTTCAAACTCAAACATAAAATACTCAGAGTCGATATAAAAAGGGGCAAAATGGTAAATTTATGAAAATTTTCAAAAGTGACCGGCTGGATCATTACACAAACAAACAATTATCTATTCAACTAGATCAAGCTCTTGATGTCTGTTTTAGTCCATAAGGATCTTTATGAAGTAGATAGACTTTCTCTTCTTTTTCCTCTATAACAAACCTTCAAGTTTCTCAACATAAACATCTTGTTCAAAAATTCCATTAAGAAATGTTGATTTGATATCCATCTTATGCACTTTCTAGCCACATTTTTGCATTAAACAGTAAGAAGCAATCTAATTGTGTACATCCTAGCAATTGGAGCAAAACTGTTAGAATAATCAATACCCAAAATTTGAATGAAACTCCTAACTACTAGCTTTGCTTTATGCTTGTTGATTAAACAATCATCATTTATCTTGGTTTGAAATACCCACTTTACCCCAATTACCTTTTCATCTTGAGGTTTGTCGCACGGGTCTCCGCCCGCTTCCTTCGTATAGTAAGCATGACTTTCTTTTTTTTTTTTGATTCTCTGCTTCCCCCCAATCCAAAATTTTCAGGTGAAAAGAAGATAGATGACTGAGAGTCACGGGATTTTGAAAGCGCCGCTTCTAGCCTTTCAGCTTCTTCAAAGAGATGACGGATACATAGCGGTTACCACTTGTAACAAGCTACTACGTATTATACCCA